TTGTGACAGATTCTTAAAAGCAAATTACTATCCCCCGTCCAGAAAACGAGCATAAAGTAACTTTTCAACCATCTGAACTCCAGTCGGTTTTAATTAACTCAAGCAATCCGGAATAGGTACATACAACTTTAAATTATTTCCAAATCTTCCATCGCTTTATCCTTCCAAGATAACTTCCATTATCCAATTAAAGGAGGCAGTCAGTAAGCCCTCGCCTAAGTTGACAAGTCAACGCGATTCTTGCTTCCCGGGCTCTGCTTTCACGTCACATCACAAGTTCCGTAATTATTTTCAGCGCCTTCGTTCAGAATATTTTATAGTAATTCATCGCATTTAGTCCGGGAGACCATGAAGCACGAGTTGTCCATAGGTTCTTCATTACCTTATAAATTTAAGGTGCCCAAAACTGGTGCCCCTCCCTAATGCGGCCCCTGGTCTCACGGACTCTGCATTTTGAAGGTCTATTATTTTCAAATGTAAATAGCTGCTTAGGTATCTAATTGCTTTTAGCTACTTTCCATATGAGGGTCCGCATAATATTAACACAAATAGTTGACAGGAAACACAAAAAAAATCATTCATATTTCCCTATTGCGACTGACATTGAAGCATTCCACGGTTAACGCAACTTCTAACAACAAATCATTTCAGCAAATTAATCAACGTCATTGGCATTGCGCCTTTAAATACTCAATTCAAAAAAATACAGACATCTCCGTAAATAAAATATGTATTTACGTTATTATATTAAATAAAGGAGTGAACGTAAAATTTCTGTGGTTGCCAGGACACGTTGGTATACAGGGGAATGAAGCTGCTGATATGGCAGTCTGATCATAAAAACTACCTCATAAACCATTTTTCACTTGTTATTTACAGTAAGATAAATACATTCACCAAATTTTATTAAAATAAAACCACTTAAGCTGGGTGTACGGATTTATATGTCACTTAGTGTATATAGAAGGGACAGGTCACAAAGAGCTTCATTGAAATGTATTCTTCAGTGTCAAAAGTTGACTTATAATAAAAAGTACGATCCATTCGTATCTCATTCTTCGCAAAATGTGCACAATACGATATAATAATACTAATAATAATAATAACCTTTATTGGAATGTAAATACATCACATGTATAAAATGGAAGCCATTTTTCACTTACCCCTATAACATAAATTAGCTTGAAGAACACTTATTCAACATCAACTGGATAGAGTGATTAGCATTTACAAAAAATGTTAAGCAGGGTGTTCAATTGAAAACTTCACACCACAGATTTATCTAAAACCGCTGATTAAAAGAAAAAACGCCAAAACACGTCAAAAGATTTGCCAAACGGGCCAACTTTTTAACCGAAAACTAATTCACCCCATTTCATCCTCTGCCCACCAGGGTCATCCCTATAAAAATTTTAAAAGGCAAGGCGTGTCGAGTAATAGCTTTTTGTAAGGTCTTTTAAATTTCTTTATTTTGACGTTTGATTTTTTTAAATCGGTCGATTCGTTTTGAAGAAAATTAGAAAAATCTTTATTTATCTTAATTTGTTCATATAGAAAACAAAAACACGCGAACATATCAGTTTTATTTCAACAAGTGTTCAAAATGTTGCCCGGTATTGGCCAGACAATGATATAGGTGATGTTCCAATTCCTGACCGACATTTTCAAAAACACTTTGTGGGATATCTTATATTTATATCAGTGATTAAAACGTGTTATTTTTTCGCTCCTATTCAAATTGCATCTGCTCCAACAAGAACGACTTCGTTCGACTGCGGATGCACGACTATCATCGAGTTCCCAATCAACTCTAGCCTTGATAATGGGTCGCGTTGGCCTGCTTGATTTCAGTTTATCATCAACGAGGCGCCGCGACGCGAGATACCGACGCTGAGCGTCGCCGCGGTGCTAGAGCTAACGCTGCATTGTAACAACAATCAAGCGCAGTGTGTACTTTGCGAGCAAGTTTTAATTGAAACGTCCGGTTATTTACACACCCTTCTAGTTAACAGCGACGCTGCTCTTCATATCTGTGCCAGGTCGATGAAAGCTATTCATGAACGACCAATGTCGACATCCATACAGGGTGCCGATGTCGACTATCCTAGCGCAGAGTATGCGTACTGGCTCGCCGATGCCCGCGTCTAACTTTTTAGAATAAGGGGAAGCCATGTTTTCATTGTATTCAGGAGCGTTGGAAAATTAACAACAGTACAGTATTTGAAAATTTAAATTATAATAATTATAATAAACGGCATTATTTATAACGGTGTAGTAAATCGTCATAACTGCCGATACTGGTCCGATTCTAATCCCAGAATTTATCATGAGGTTCATACACAGCAGCCACAAAAATTAAATGTTTGGCGATCATTTAGTTGGTCCTTTTTCTTACCTGGAAATTTGACCGGTGAAATTTATTTGGAATTACTGGAAGACACCATAGATCCTGCATTAACAGCCATAATTGAAAATCAGAATGATCGGCGGTACATTGCGAATAGGTTGATGTTCCAACAGGATGGTGCCCTACCACATTACGCATTACGTGTTCGACAATACTTAGATCAAACGTTTCCAGATCGATGGATTGGTAGAAGAGGTGCCATTGAATGGCCCCCAAGATCGCCAGATTTATCACCTTTGGATTCCTTTTTGTGGGGTCATTTAAAAAGCTAAATCTATGCTACCGAGCCAACATCATTAGAAGACCTTCGACAAAGAATTGTGAATGAGTGCCTTCAAATTACTCCTCAAATATTGCAAAATGTGCGGCAACGTTTTGAGCAAAATGTTTATTATTGCATGGAGAGTCATGTTGGTCATTTTCAACATTTACTTGCCTAACAGGTCAGTTCATTCTTCACTTTTAAATTACTTTGCTGTCAAATCTATTCATCTCCACTAATGAGGATGTATTAGTTTTATATAAACTTTAAATCAATAAATCTTCAAAACTACTGAACTGAAGTACATTAATTTTATATCATTATAAAGAAAATTTAAATACCTTTAAAATAAGGTATTACTCGGCCCCCCTTTCCATTTAAGATCTTGGGGGTGGTGTAACCCCTGCTTAGGGGGCTGCACGTGCTAACGTGATTTTTTGCCAAACTTGTGTCCCCCTTCGAAACAAAATCGACGGCTCTGAGCGTTTTTAAAAAAAAACATGAGCTGCCCGTAATTGCGTCTGTTTCGTTTTCGATGCGCCACCCTGTATGAACGAAAGGACTTCATCACCCCGCTACAAGGTTTGTCCTACTTGCACAAACATCAATTAGGGTTCTTACATATTTAGCACGTGGCGAGATATTTTCTTCAAGACCCTTTTTTCAGTACCTGCCTGGAAATGAAATTTTAATCAATTTTCACCTCACTCAACCTTGACAGTTATATAAATAGAGCACCTTTCTGCTGCTTTAAATGAATAATTGGAAGAGGAGGTCCGCCCTCATTATCTTCAAAATAATTCAAAAGAGAGAACTACGTTGCTTACGCTCGGCTGGGGTTTAATGATAGCAATAACAATAACAATAATAATAATAATAATAATAAAGGTCTTTTCATTTGGGCGAAGCTTAGCTTGAGCTAGTCCCCCACTTGACCCATACAAAAATGAATACAAACTTGAATAAAATAGATATATGACAATAAGACTCGTAATATAACAAAATTATTTACATATTTAATGCAATTACTCTGATAAAGGAGTAAATACTATCTCCATTAGCAGAAGTGAATGATAAGTGTTTTCAGTTTTTAAAGTTACCAAATGTCAACGATTGAATTTCAGGAGGTAGTGAACTATGCAGATAGATCGCATTAAAAGTAAAACCTGTTTAAAAATGACGTTCTGTGGATAAGCATGGTGAGTGTATTTGGGAAGCATATAGATATTTCTAGAATGAACACACGTACGATTTATTAGCTTTTCCTTTAGAAACGGAGGTAATGAGGTAATTTGGAACATAATAGTAAGTGATATTCTTTATATAAGTTTGTACTATTTAAGCACCTAGTTTTTGGAAAGATACCGAAATAGGGTCGTACTTTTTCAAGCATTCTGCTAATCTACAGCAAGTATTTGGTTTTTTCTGCAAGCGTTTTATAGATACCGAATCTAAGAATGAATGGTAAACAATATCGCAACATGTCATTTTTGAAACGATCAATCATTCGCATAAAATTTTCTTAGCTTTGTTGTATAAAATTTGTTGAAGTATAACCAGCGAAGTACTGAAAAACAACTTTGAGTAATATGGTTCACATCTGGAGTGGAATTTAGACTGATTTCGCCATCCAGAGACATGCTTGTATGTCTTTTAATGCATTTCCTTAATTTTTGTCGAAAAATTAACTTTTGATTTTGTAGGATTTGAACCGAGATTATGACTGCTGGAGTAGTTATCAATATACTTTAAATCCCCATTTATTTGAAATTCTGCGACTATAATCTTGTCATTATTGACATTGAAAATGAATGATTTATCGTATCAAATGCTCTGGTGAAATCTAAGAGGACTAAAGATGCCAACAAATTTTGTCTTTACGATGTTATTTGTTAAGCCTAATAAAGCTTCTGCAGTATTGTACTCTTTCCTGAATCCTCATTGCTTAGCTGGTGGTATTTCAGAACATACAATCATTTATTTGTATATACATCACATTCTTTGATAATCCTGATAATGTGGGTAGGAAGCTTATGGACCTCAAGTCAGAACAAGAAGTGGGGCTATTATTTTTAGCTATGTGTCTGATTACAGCGCGTTTCAATAATTACGTAATTTTCCAAACACTTATTTATAAGGTGTAGACTGTGACATGAAATAATGTGGAAATAGTTTCAACATCCGAAGAGATATTCTATCAATCCCCAAGTAATTTGATTTTAGAAATTTAAATATTGTGTGCAAATACTGAAAATCGGTTTGGAGCTAAATCTATTATGAGTATAATAGTTTGTCTCGTAAAAATAAATTGTTCCCGTACAGGAATTTGTATTACCACTTCTCCACTATTCCACAATCTTCCTCTATCTCTATAGAACTAAAATAATCATTTATTTTTAATAGGTCTCTCAAATGGTTAGTAATTTCACTATTTTTCAATGTTTGCTCATGCATTGTTTTGCTCACTGCAAAGTTTTATATAAAGCAGGAGAATCAAATAGAAAAGGCAGAAAAATATTGGTTCTATTAAACACCTTAGAAATGGTTGGTTGTAGTGGTACGGCATTAAGTTTAATGTTGAGCTACATACAAGGACTTCAACAACAGGTAAAAATTAAAAAAAATGTAAGCAATAAGCAAATCATTAAATATGGTGTACCACAGGGGACATTAATGGGCCCACTGCTTTTTAACATATACTAAGTGACATATAAATCCGAACACCCAGTTTAAATGGTTTTATTTTAATAAAATTTTGTATAAGTACTTAATGAAGCATAATAAGTAAATGATAAAAATTTCAAAATGATTGCACTGCTTTAAAGCCCTTTGACCTTTAATAATGTGTGGATGCACCCTGATGTGCTACGCATTCTCCAACGCGCCTAGGCATGCTTCTGATCAGGTGGTCAATGTCCTCCTGTGGTATTTGATTCCAGGCAACCACCAACTCCTCTCGAAGTGCTTCTAGAGTCTGAGGAGGACGTTGCAAATTGAGCAATCTCCTACCCATCATATCCCACACGTGCTCAATTGGGGATAAGTCGGGAGATCTTGGTGGCCAATACTTGTTTAAGTTCATCAAGAGTTTTTACGCTGCGAAGTGATTCCGTTCGTCTTCTATCATCTGCTGCACTCCCAAATAAAGCTATATCCGCGATTGTTTTTAATAGTGAATGTTGATTGCTTTCAAGATTAGGACGTCCCACTGAATCCCTCAGAGATAGTTTTTTTTTATTTCTGGATTTTCATGACAAATATCATCTAACTTTCTTTTCATATCATCCCTGTGTTTCTTCTGGGTAACTGCGTTTTGAACCTTCCTGTTTAAAGACTGTTTTGCTGTTTTTATTTCCTCGCGCAACTTAATGATCTGTTTATCAACTTCAGCACGGCTTGGCATAGTATCTCTGGCAGAATACAAAGCATTCAGATTTTTTTCGAGTAGAGCAATCTTATTTTTCATAGCTTCCTGAGAAGGTTTTGCTCTCTGTTTATCTGTATTTTCATTAATTTCGTATTGCTGTTGTGATTCATTACCGGGTTTTATTTTATCTTCTTCCTCTTTTTTAATATTTGAAGCTGACTGTATAATTTGAGTTTTTTCTGCAGGTTTACAGGTTGCCTAAAAATAAAAACTTTCTATGGCTTCTGCTAAAGATTCTCTTATTAAGCTACATAAATACAAAGTATGGCAATATATATGGTAAATACAAAAGCTTATGGCTTTAAATCTAATATGTTTAAACGAGCAATTCGTTCATCAATCATAAGAAATAAATCTATAATATCATGAATATTACCTCTATACTTTGAGATAGGCCATACTATTTTCTAATCAGTAAAGAGAAACTTTTTGGCGATTTCTAATATTTCTAGTACTCATAGGCACCTAAAATGATTTCGTCACTCACCTTAGAAAAAAAACGTGCTCAATTGGGGATAAGTCGGGAGATCTTGGTGGCCATGGTAACAATGTGACATCATTATGTTGAAAGAAGTCTATTGTGACTCTTGCAACATGTGGTCGGGCATTATCTTGTTGGAAAGTTGGATCTGCCAGGGTGTCAAGATAGGGTAAAAGATGGGGTTCTAGAACTTCGTCGATATAACGCTGCGCGTTCATGTTACCGCTGATGAAGATTAAGGTGACCTGGAACCATAAGCTATAGCATCCCAAACCATAACTCCAACAGTATGATAAACATGTCTTTCAACAAAAAACTGTGGATTCCTCCTTTCACCACGTCGCCTTCTAACCCTGGCACGACCATCGTGCATGCCTCAAGGCGATTACGTCGGTGTTCTCGATTTAAAGGGAGGACCCAGTGTGGCCGGTATGAAAACAAGCCAAAACTTCCCATTCGTCGGTAAACACTTCGCATGCCAATAGGTCTTCCGTGTTGTGCAAACCATTCATTTGCAATGGACCTGGTAGTGGAGAAACAGTCCCTTGAGGCCAATAATCTTAGGCGGCGATCTTCACGGTCTGTTGTTCTATGGCGGCGTCCAGTGCCCCTTGCTCTTTGCGTACGGCCTTCTCGAAGCCATGCCAGACAACACCTAACCACAGTGTCTACACTTCTTTGCACTCTAACTGCAATTGCCCGAAAAGAAAGTCCAGCTTCCCGAAGTCCCACTATACGGCCCCTATCAAACTCACTAAGTTGACGAAATCGTACAGGTCTCCGCACTCTAGGCATCGTAACCGATCGTAAAGGATGTCAAGAACCAAAATCCGCCAACGTTGATTCTTTACTGCGGCTGAAATATTCATTTTTAGAGCGTTAGTGAATTAAAAAAAAGCAGTATAAAAACCGGAATGTCCAACTGATAAGGCTGAAAATTTTTTCACTTGTTATTTACAGTAACTTTTATTAAAATAAAACCATTTAAACTGGCTGTTCGGATTTATATGTCACTTAGTATATATGTAAATAGTTTATTTGAATAGGCGAGGTAAAGTCCTTCACTGATGATACCGTTATCTTATATAAACTAATCCTAGGGAAAATCTAAGAATAATGGCTGTGTATGATTTTACTGCCATCATTCGCTGGTGCACACATAAACCATTAACGATAAATTTCGATGAAACCCATTCTGTCCCGTCTACCAGTTATAGCGATACTTTGCCTAGCTATGAAACATCACACTTCAAAATTGATACAAGTTCTATAGCCATATAACGTGAGGAACATTTCAAATACCTTGGAGCACAAGTCCTTTTTAAGTATTAATAGAAAGACCTTCTTTTGAAGCTTTGATAGCCTGTATCTTGAAAGTCAAACTTTTGATGACATATAGTATGAAATTATTTTACAACAGCAGCTCTTAGCGTATTGGGCAGAAATAGAACGACAATGCTTACAGGTAACTAGTAAATATCTTGTTTTCCTAACAGGCATAAACTGAATTGGAGCCATCAAGGATCTTATGGTGATTACACCACACGTCTATTAAGACAGTATTTTGCATACTATACCCTAAATCGAGCACTATACTTACGAATAGATGGTTTTAATATCCCCTATGCAAGTTTCTCCAACTACTCCAGGTGCTGAAGCCAATTAACGTTTACGATACTCGGTTATCCCTAGTAAATTGAGTGTTTGAATTGAGCTTCGCAGTTGGTGTAGTAACGCCCTTGTTTGTATTATCTATTCCTTACCTTACTGAATATAAATGTTTATAGGCTCTAGCTGGTTCATTTACAAGCGGGTTCGGGATCTCAGTTTCTTTAATAGCGCAGCCATTGGTTTATTATACATGGAGTTGCAGGTGTCATACTCCAAGGTCTTTCTGAATGTTGATGTACTTTAAACCGTGTTACGTTACCGTATTGCTAATCATAAAAGAATCCGAGATGGTAATTATGCCTTATTATGCAGTTTATTCTATTCCTTCACATTTTCTGAATTGGATACTTGAAGCACTCATCGATATTGTATGTTCTGCATAAACATTGTCTAAGCCAAATACATATAGCGGAACTTACAATACTATTTACTTCTCTATTGGTAAATCAGGGTTACAAAACCATTCAATTTTAATATCACCTGGGGGCCGTACAAGTATCACGTGAGCACTATGGGGGGCGGGGGTTCTTTGCTGTGCTTATTTTGGATGACATGGGGGGTTGGGAAGTCTAGATGATGATTACGTCATCGGTAGTTATTTACTTTTTTACACGAATGGGAACCCTCACATTGTCTTTGCTTGAAAACGAAACGCATTTTCGGGGATTCCCGCAAATAATGCATTCGTTTAGTGAACAGCGCGCGGTAATTCCCCTACTCGCTTTAGAACCGAGTAGGAGAATTACCGTGCGGTGTTCACTTGTCTAAATTTCCTTTATCAGTGTATAGTTTCGTTTGGATACTATAGCGAGTAGACGTATTGTAAGCATAGTAAAGCAAGTTAACAGTTGTGTTACCATTGATTCCATTAGTCAAAGTTTAATGTTTAAATAAGATGTCGTTTCGCATAAAAAAATCCAAGTTATACCAAAAATTGTTTGAAAGTTTTAAAAAATCTCATACAAGTACGAAAGTACAAAATGTACAACAAAATCCGACAAGGATCTAGATATTATTGTATCTAAGAGAATCGAAGAAGAATTGCAAGCGGCGACTAAGAATAATTCCAATCTACTAAATTTTTTTTCTAAGGTGAGTGACGAAATCATTTTAGGTGCCTATGAGTACTAGAAATATTAGAAATCGCCAAAAAGTTTCTCTTTACTGATTAGAAAATATTATGGCCTATCTCAAAGTATAGAGGTAATATTCATGATATTATAGATTTATTTCTTATGATTGATGAACGAATTGCTCGTTTAAACATATTAGATTTAAAGCCATAAGCTTTTGTATTTACCATATATATTGCCATACTTTGTATTTATGTAGCTTAATAAGAGAATCTTTAGCAGAAGCCATAGAAAGTTTTTATTTTTAGGCAACCTGTAAACCTGCAGAAAAAACTCAAATTATACAGTCAGCTTCAAATATTAAAAAAGAGGAAGAAGATAAAATAAAACCCGGTAATGAATCACAACAGCAATACGAAATTAATGAAAATACAGATAAACAGAGAGCAAAACCTTCTCAGGAAGCTATGAAAAATAAGATTGCTCTACTCGAAAAAAATCTGAATGCTTTGTATTCTGCCAGAGATACTATGCCAAGCCGTGCTGAAGTTGATAAACAGATCATTAAGTTGCGCGAGGAAATAAAAACAGCAAAACAGTCTTTAAACAGGAAGGTTCAAAACGCAGTTACCCAGAAGAAACACAGGGATGATATGAAAAGAAAGTTAGATGATATTTGTCATGAAAATCCAGAAATAAAAAAAAACTATCTCTGAGGGATTCAGTGGGACGTCCTAATCTTGAAAGCAATCAACATTCACTATTAAAAACAATCGCGGATGTAGCTTTATTTGGGAGTGCAGCAGATGATAGAAGACGAACGGAATCACTTCGCAGCGTAAAAACTCTTGATGAACTTAAACAAGTATTAGGTAAAATAGGATTTGACATTAGTCGCAGTGGGACATATCTTTGTTTAATTCCCAGAAAACCTAATTCTGCAGAGGGACGAAGACATGTATCGACAGTCCCTGTTAAGCTCATTCGGGCTCAATCTAATCACCACAGGAGCCACTTAGATAGCAAGTTCACTGAAACATCAATCTATTATTTAGAGAACATAGCATCCATACTTGGACCAGATCAAGCATTTTTCATATCTCAAGATGATAAAGCTCGAGACCCTATTGGCGTAACTGCGGCAAATAAGCAAGCACCTCCTCTAATGCACATGGAATATAGAATCAAATTGCCTGATCACGATTGGGTAATCGCTGAGTGTCATAAATTAGTACCATCTGATTATGCTGGTATTAAAATCACTTCCAATATGCTAGGACAACCGCAAGCCTTTGGATATTCTGGACCAACATACATCGCTATTCGAAGTGGAAAGCATAGTTCATCTACTGCTAATACTCATGCTCAGGATTTCGAGACGCTTCTCGAATTTGAAGAGTTTCGACCATTAGCTAAAACTGACCATGGACTAGTAAAACCAGTGGTAATCATGACGGTTGATGGAGGGCCACATGAAAATCCAAGAAGTGGCCTATTTAGATTATTAGACAATAGGTTTCTTCTACCACCTGTAAAAGTAAAACTTACAGTTGATGACTTGGTTTTGGATGAAGGACGGCAATTTCTTAATCTTCCAGTCAATTTAGCTCTACGCTTAAGTGCTTCACTCAAAGATTCCCTGCAAATGCCCTACGATTATTTTTGTCCGACGGTAAAATTGAGGCTATCAAGTCGAACATGCAAAAAGTGTGGTCTTTATCATGCTTCCGTCAAGTCACTAAATCATCACAACGAAAATATCGATAAAAAAGTAAACACGCACACTGATAGGAAAGTTAGACCTGTAAGAGTCGCTGCTTGTCGTGCTAATGAACTGATGTGCATTATTCAAAATTAAGAGCACCATGATGTTGAATGGCTCGATGAGAACGACGTAGACATTCCAAAATCCGATGAAAGCGTTGCAAACTCACAACACTGAGCGGCAATCGAAGCAATCCAATCTCATCGAAAACTTAGAATCATGGAATCGGGTTTCATGGACAGAAGCCTGTTAATTTGAATTTAATATATGTATGTACCAAAAATTTAAAATAAGTTTGTTATGTTAGTAAGATATAATATGTTTGTCCTTTACACTATGTTGAATACCGTACCGGTAATATTATAATATTAAAAAAAATAATACATTAATTGACAAATGTTTACGTAAACATGTTGGAGGGGGTAAGAGCTTTGCTTACTTTTGCTGGCAAGGGAGATTGGGGGGTAAATAATTGTAATAAATCTGCTTACGTAATACTTGAACGGCCGCCTGATGGGGTTACGTGGCGATTTATGGATGCCTCCTTCATAATAGTGGACTGTGCTTTTGTAGTTTTTTGAAGTTTTATTGTGAAAGCTCTTACACTTTCAAACGTAAAATGTAAAGGAGACAGCATTGACGCGTCGCTTCCTTCCTTGTTGATACAACAATTAACGAATGGCATCTATCCTCCGCATTCGTGTACACCCTGGATTCTGCGCTTTGATTATCTTTCTGAAAAAGTTCTGCGTTCTAATTGCCCAGGTTGTGCAAAAGTCGTTGATAATGTGATTTTTAGATACTAGAGCGATCTACGAGAGATGCAAAACACAAAAATGGAAATCAACTTTGGAAAGGATTATAGTATTTGGTTCTGCTACTTTCTCATAGGTGGCGCTAGTATCTTAAATTCCTTTTAACGAATATCAAATGTCTATTTAAATTAAGTATTTCAAGGTGGAATCCGCCGAAGATACCCAATAGGCTATTTGACTAATTTTGCAAAATCATTTTAAATTATTCTTTTATATATAATGAGCACACTACATGAATATTTCCTGAAAATCTATGCTATTTTTAATAGAAATCAAATTTGAAGTTTGAATTTTTATAACCGCGCCAAAAACGCTATTCCTGTGATGGCGCCGGCAGATGACGTCTGTGACGTCACACGCCAGTAAACACGATCGCGAGCTGTCAGCCGAAGTTAATTTCATTATTGTGCTTGATTTTGCTATAAAATTATAGATAAAATGGTCTATCAATGGTGTGTAGTGCCAAAATGTACGAATACGTGTATAAATAGTCCACAAACATTGTTTGTTTCTGTTCCAACCGATTGTAAAAGACGAAAAAAGTGGTTACTATTAGCTCGGAGAGACACAAAGGGCATTTCATCGACTTCCATTAACTACATGCAGTACAAATTGGGTTTCAGCAAGAAGATACTTTTGACAGAAGTCCACTGTCTGATGCTGGACTTTCTCGAGGAGCATATGTCAAGAGGAAAAGAATGGATTTGGTCAACACATGTTTGCAAAGTCAAAATGCTATTGAAGCCCAAGCTGAAAGCTTACAAAAAGATAAGAGTTTGATACAAGACATTATTGAACCTCAAGGTATGTAATCTATTACATGTGTCCTATCATAAATTATACAGGGTTATCCAAATTAAGTGTCCACCATTAGTAACTTTGTTATTAGTGAAAATACAAAGTTGTTTGAATTAGCAAACTAGTAGCATTTTTAACGCTGGTAAAAATGAGAAATAAAAAAACAATTGAGAGTCGTTATTTTGATTTTTTTCAGTAAAATAACATTTTTTTAAATGGAAACCCCTGTATATTATATTTTTTTCTGTTAAAGCATCAAATTTTAAACAAAAAAGTTCATAATGACTTTTCCGCTAAAGTCAAAAATAAAGTCAAAATAACGATAAATATTTTTAATTATTTGCAGTATTATAATATTAAGACGGCTATGAAAACAACATGGCGTTCGCGATTTGACAGCATTAAGATAAGCGACAAATTGTTAAACTGGACATACTCGCAACTAGAAGGCTTTGGAAAACAATGATAAAATCAAATAATGTCAAACATTAGTGTAAATACTTGTTTATAAGCTTTATTGTGTCATTAATTTAAAGAAAAATGTTCTCCCATGAAGAAAAGTGTGATATGTTAGAATGCTATTTAGTGTGCAGAAAATCCTCCTTGAGAGCAAGAGAATACTACAGTGAATTATATCCCGCTCGCATTCAACCGTATGAACGATATTTTCTGAGACTTTATCGAAAATTTAGGGGCAACGAAAATGTTTTTGCTAAAACAAGGGCAAAAAAAGAATTCATAATAAGCGAGGCCACAGAAATTGCAGTTATTGGATATTTTGAAGTTTATCGTGAGAATTCAATAGCAGATATTCTCAAGGACTCTAATTTCAGTTATGGTACTGTTCAAAGGATTTTAAAAAAATACAAATTTATTCCGTATAAGTACCGACCAGTTCAAACGCTTTTGGCAGGGGATCCAGAGAGAAGACTTGTTTTTTGCCATTGGTATCTTAGCTTCTGTCGCCAAAATGTAAATAACTTTCGTTACCTTTTATGGACAGATGAATCAAATTTTTCAAATTCTGGAATGTTTAATAGAAAAAACCACCATTATTGGTCAAGAGAAAATCTTTTGTTAGTACATCCAAGAGGCCCACAAGTCCGTTTCAGTTTTAACGTTTGGTGCGGTATAATTGGTTCAAAAATTGTTGGCCCGTTCTTTTATGAGGGAACCCTAACTGGTGAAAGATATGTGGAATTTATGTCAGAAATTCTGACTAATTTCTTAGACGAATTGGACCTTATAAGTAGACATCATCTGCATTTTCAGCAAGATGGCGCACCTGCCCACAACTCCAGAGGTACTTATCATTTTCTAAGTACTACTTTTAATGATCAGTGGATAGGAACAAATGGCCCAATACAGTGGCCTCCCAGATCACCAGATCTAAACCCACTTGATTACTTCTTGTGGGGTTACTTAAAGAACCAAATTTACAAGCGAAGGTACGATAACCTTGACACGTTAAAGACTGCAGTTAGGGAAAAGATAACCCAGATAGATGGTAGGACCATACTTAAGACAGTTCGAGCAGTTGAAAAACGTGCCCAAAAATGTATTGAAGAACAAGGTGGTGTTTTCGAGCATCTTCTTTAAAAAAAATTGTTATTGTATTTTGTAAGATTATAAGTTGATGTTGAAAATAAAGTTTGTCGATACAATTTAATTGTTTCAGATTGGAGGCCATAACTTCAACAATTTGTAACCTAGGAGAAAAGTCATTGTAAGCTTTTTTGTTTAAAATTTGATGCTTTAACAGAAAAAAATATAATATACAGGGGTTTCCATTTAAAAAAATGTTATTTTACTGAAAAAAATCAAAATAACGACTCTCAATTGTTTTTTTTTATTTCTCATTTTTACCAGCGTTAAAAATGCTACTAGTTTGCTAATTCAAACAACTTTGTATTTTCACTAATAACAAAGTTACTAATGGTGGACACTTAATTTGGATAACCCTGTATATGGTTTGGTAGGGCATTTTATTTCAACAATGGCATCTTTCAATAAACCATCAGGAGATGCTGCAAGCATGGGATTGTCTTGGCATACATAAATTCCACATGTTCTGATTTTTTTGTTCAATATTGTACTAATTGTCTTCCGGATAGATAGCTCCAAACTTCTACCTCTTTTCATTGCAATAGTATCTGGTATTTTTGCGCCAATTATAGTAGCAACCAATGAACCATCAGGTGTATGACATACGCTCACTTCATGTGCCTTTGAAGCTGTGATACGGCCATACCTCATCTCATACCACAAGCTGCTCTTGTACTGCATTCTTGTTGCTTCTTCAATTGCACTGATAGCAGCTATGTTGAATGTTGTCTTCATTATGTCTACAAGATTGTCTACGTCTGCTTGAATTTTTGGTGGTTGGTCCATTATGAAACAGTGCAGCGAATACCGCATAACATTTGAGTGTTTAAAATCGTCCTGATATTTTATCAATTCACAGTGTTGAAGTTTTCTTTTTTTGGCTTCCAAAATAAAGTCTGTGTAAAGTGCTGATGTACTTGGTCTGTGCGGTACTTCCTTTTTCGACATCTGCTGCACCGTGATGTACTTCTTGACAATGTTGGCTTTTTCCAATAACATTCCACCGAAGTAGATGGAGGTTCCTCACTGCGCCGATGTACCCACATCAAAAAAGCGACTGCATGTTGCAGCCTCCTGCTGAAGCAGCACAGTCATGGCACTGACAACTTATTATCTCGCTTTCATTTTCGTTGATAACCATTGTCACATTATAAGCTTTTGATCTCACTTTGTGCTCTGGGCACATTTTGCACTTAAGTGTGCAAAGTCCATGCTCCCGGTGCAGCTGCACATAGCCAATTGCATCGTCTCCGTAGGACTCCCTTCCAGACCTGTAAAACAAAAGCAAAACATGAAAGTATGTTTTATTCATGTAACCATATATGAACCATATTATCATATTGAACTGAAAGCTTCTTTCATTACATCAGCATAACCTAAAATAAGATTGATTTTACAAATCTTTTAATGATCATACATAAAGGTTAGTAGGTATAAATAAATAATTTCTATTACTACTTACATTGTTGTTTTCACATGTTTGAGTTCCGCAGCATAGTAGTCCGCATTATTTTTGAAGAAAAATGCTACCATTAATGCGTCAACCTTAGGTAGATTGCTGTTATCAGCTTGCACAAAATTTAGGTCCATTTTGAAGTCCACAACGAAAAATGATGCCAATAGTTGAAAGATTGATCAAGAAAGCAATAAAAATCTGTTTACGAAATAGAATTATGATAGAATATCTCACAGAAAGCCAGCAAAAACGTACAACGCGATGTTTGTTTACTTGCATGTGACGTCACCAGAGCCGCAGCCAATCGCAGGGCGTTTCTGTGACCCATCGAATTTTTAAAAATAGTTGATTTTTATTTGATTATTTCCCAAAAAATATACATATTTAGGTGTAAATTAAAGTACTATGTGTTTTCTTATTCTATTATCTAATAGGATCACCACAATTCGCAACTTATTTTCAATACTGTCAAATAGCCTATTGACATAGGCATTAGAGGTGCACCAAAAAGTGAGTGAAGCTCCAAGCGCCAGCCATGAGACATTGGCAGAACCAAACATCCTAATCCTTTTCAAGATACATTTCTAAATCCATTTTTGTGTGTTCAGTGTCTTCATCAATCAATGATACCACGTAGGAGACAAATGAATATTTAATTCGAAAAGATGAATTGAGTAAAAAAATCGGATTATAAAGCAATTTTTTTGTTCGTGTTTCAAAACCTTGAAAAATACATCAGAGGTAGTCCCAGATCAGCTGAAAGTCAGCATAGGATCATGGAGCTCCGTTCGGGGAACCCCTTATTTATTTACAGGTTTTGAAGGATTTATTTTCCTTCGTTTTGCGCGTGGAAGTTAAATGGGGCGTGAAAGGGCAAGGGTGACAGAATATTCAATTTTTGAAACAGGCGCTTTATAGGTATTCAGGGTCGTTCAAAAGTTAGCGACATGCTCGTACTCAGACTTTTTAGGTGGAAAGCATTCACAGCAAATCAAGCCTCATAACACAGGGTATCCTTGAAGTTGCGACGTTCCTTCACGCAGCGTATACTTATTGTAAGAATGAACAAATTTAACAAACACATGCAATAAAGCCTAAAGATACTCGCGTCAGTGTGCAATCTAGGTGCCGCGTAGATAAACCGAAACGAACTTGCCGATTTAATATATGCCGCATAGGCGCCATATAGGTCGATAGCTACCTTAAACCGCAGCAGCTGAGAAATGTGCACCTCGTCGGCAAATAATGCATAATCTGCAAAGGTTTATTATTCGCTGCCGATAGAGGCTCTATAAAAGTTTATAAAAACTGGATGGGCCGACACGTGTGATTATTCCTGCTCTGGGTTCACTCGGTGCGAATCTCTTTTCGTGGGAATGGACCTGCCCGTGCCAAAAAGTAAGAACGCACCTGTTTCATTTTATTGTACTTTTATTTGAGCGTCGCTTTGTTAATATAGTTGGATATTTCATCTTCTTGTGATAAAAAATTTACCTCCGGACCCGATGGAATCCCATCATTTTTAGTGCGTGACTGTGCCTACGTGTTAGCTCATCCTTTGACAAAGATCTTCAAGCTATGTTTAAAGACTGACACGTTTCCTGAAATTTGGGGCGAATCAAAGGTGCGTCCCATTTTCAAGAAGGGCGATAGACTACAGGTTGAAAATTATAGACCGATAACACTAGTATGTATCTTTTCCAAGGCCTTAGAAACTTTGCTTCATAATTTCCTATACCACAATACACATTCCCAAATAAGTACTTCTCAGCATGGCTTTATGAAGGGTAGATCAACCATAACTAACCTAGCATGTTTTACTCAGTCAGTCTCCTCTGCATTAGATGCTAATAGCCAGGTGGATGTAATTTATACAGATTTTAGTAAAGCATTTGACAAACTTGATCACAATATTCTGTTAACGCAGCTGAGCTATTTTGGATTCTCCCCCAAGCTGTTATCCTTTCTTAAGTCATATCTATCAGGAAGAAAGCAATATGTTGAATATGAGGGTGTCAAATCCATTGAATTCTTCCCAACCTCAGGGGTACCTCAAGGCTCCTGCTTAGGTCCTTTGCCTTTCATACTGTTCATAAACGATATTGTTAGCGACATCGACAGCAGCCACTTAATCTATGCTAAGGATCTGAAAATTTTTTCCAATGTCGACTGCAGCACTGACTGTGCTCACTTACAAAAAGACCCAGCCAAAATAGTTAAATGGTGTGCTGTAAATCGACTTCCAATTAACTACAGTAAAAGTAGTGTTATGTCTTACACCAGAAAGCTGGATATTATTGCATTTGATTACCGAATTGGCAATCATTCTCTGCTGAGAGTACAAGAATGCAAGGACCTGGGTGTGATTTTTGACATGTCACTTAGCTTCAATCCTCATATTGATTGTTAATGCTGTCAACAGATTATTAGGATTTGTAATACGTAACTCAAAGGAATTAAGTAACAAAGATGCCATGATTATGCTTTATAGTTCATTCATACTGTCTAAATTAGAATATGGACGGCTAATATGGAATCCATGCTATGTTACAGCTTGTGGCTCTCTGGAGAAGATTCAGCGGAAATTTCTGAAATTTCTTTCATTCAAAATTGACGGTACGTACCCACCGATTGGGGTCCCACAGGAAGACCTGTTACTTGAGCACAAGTTTATCAGTCTTGATAACAGAAGAAAGATTCACTCGTTAATATTCCTGCATAGAGTAGTGCATAGCAGTTATGATTGGTCCATCATTTCTGGCACAGATTAAATTTAATGCTCCAAAATTTGTTACTCGCAATACACTCACTTTTTACCTACCTACCCCACGAACTAACTTACTGTTGCACTCACCTTTGTACTCGATGTGTTTATGTTATAACAGTCTAGAGTACATTTGATTTGTTCAACACAAGTATTTCGAATATTAAGAGAGTTTGCAGTGAAATGACTTAGTTTTTAGTTTTCGTTGTATTTTTATATGTTTTTTTTACTATTTCTATTGTTGTTTTGCCACCAGTAATTGGTTAACACTGTTGGTGGTGGATTTCAATAAATAAATAATATTACCGCAAGATACTGCTGATGCTTCGTAGATTTGTTGGTATACAGCACAAATTTTGAATGTGAACAAGGGTGGCTGCATTCTTGTATGTCCTCAGTTAGCTTATCTACAATATACTTGTATGTACTATTTCATAAATATCATGTATGCCTATACCACGACATCAATGTTGTATACTCTGAGTGCTTTCACCTTTTCTACAACGTGAGAACTTGCCTTCCTAAGTTTAAGCGTAAAATTACTATTTCCATCCAATCATCTGTTACAAGAGCCCATTTTTTTCACTTGGTCCGCAGAATTTCCTACTAGGGTGAAATACCTAAGTTGATGTGAAATTGGGCATTTTATTGAAAACAATAGTGTTACTACCTTATGGAAGTAAGGGAGGATGTATTTTTAAAAATACATCCATATGTGCATTGATATAAATCACTTTTTCTCGGTATGCTTTACTAGTACAACATCTGTATCTAGGAGATATTTATACAAAGATTAAAATATTGACAATGACCGTATTTATAATAAGAATTCGGTAGGCGTATAATATAATATACTAAGTGACATATAAATCCGAACACCCAGTTTAAATGGTTTTATTTTAATAAAATTTTGTATAAGTACTTAATGAAGTATAATAAGTAAATGATAAAAATTTCAAAATGATTGCACTGCTTTAAAGCCCTTTGACCTTTAATAATGTGTGGATGCACCCTGATGTGCTACGCATTCTCCAAAGCGCCTAGGTATGCTTCTGATCAGGTGGTCAATGTCCTCCTGTGGTATCTCATTCCAGGCAACCACCAACTCCTCTCGAAGTGCTTCTAGAGTCTGAAGAGGACGTTGCAAATTGAGCAATCTCCTACCCATCATATCCCACACGTGCTCAATTGGGGATAAGTCGGGAGATCTTGGTGGCCATGGTAACAATGTGACATCATTATGTTGAAAGAAGTCTATTGTGACTCTTGCAACATGTGGTCGGGCATTATCTTGTTGGAAAGTTAGATCTGCCAGGGTGTCAAGATAGGGTAAAAGATGGGGTTCTAGAACTTCGTGGATATAAGGCTGCGCGTCCATGTTACCTCTGATGAAGATTAAAGGTGACCTGGAACCATAAGCTATAGCACCCCAAACCATAACTCCAACAGTGTGATGAACATGTCTTTCAACAAAAAACTGTGGATTCCTCCTTTCACCACGTCGCCTTCTAACACTGGCACGACCATCGTGCATGCCTAAACAAAATCGAGACTCGTCACTAAAGACAATACTGTTCCATTCCTGATCCCAGAGTGACCGTTGTCTGCAACACTCAAGGCGATTACGTCGGTGTTCTCGAGTTACAGGGAGGACCCAGTGTGGCCGGTATGAAAACAAGCCAAAGCTTCTCATTCGTCGGTAAACACTTCGTATGCCAATAGGTCTTCCGTGTTCTGCAAACCATTCATTTGCAATGGACCTGGTAGTGGAGAAACGGTCCCTTAAGGCCAATAATCTTAGGCGGCGATCTTCACGGTCTGTTGTTCTACGGCGGCGTCCAGTACCCTTGCTCTTTGCGTACGGCCTTCTCGAAGCCATGCCTGACAACACCTAACCAGAGTGTCTACACTTCTTTGCACTCTAACTGCAATTGCCCAAAAAGAAAGTCCAGCTTCCCGAAGTCCCACTATACGGCCCCTATCAAACTCACTAAGTTGACGAAATCGTACAGGTCTCCGTACTCTAGGCATCGTAACCGATCGTAAAGGATGTCAAGAACCAAAATCCGCCAACGTTGATTATTTACTGCGGCTGAAATATTCATTTTTAGAGCGTTAGTGAATTAAAAAAAAGCAGTATAAAAACCGGAATGTCCAACTGATAAGGCTGAAAATTTTTTCACTTGTTATTTACAGTAAGATAAATACATTCACCAACTTTTATTAAAATAAAACCAAAAGGAAAAAATACGTCTACATCATATTTAAAAAATTCAGAACAGCCATTTGAGCTGAGTCCAGTGCTGCCTAGAATATTTTTGGAAGGTCCACATGATGAATATAAAATTACAATCTAAAAAAAATTTTGGGTGGAGGAGGTCAGAATTCATGTTCAGGAGGGGGCAATTCACAACTGAAGAGGGTCTGCTAATTGAAAAACAGGTTCGTTCTCTTTTAAACTTG